TTTCCAGTAGTACCGTTCATACCAGTTTTTGATTTCTTCGCAGCCGTCGATCTATGATCGAAATAGTATAAGTGTGGGGTCCATTTGAATCCAAATGCTCAGTGGCTAATTGTTTGGAAACCATTAAATAATATAAAATTTTAATTTAAAATATATTATATTTTTTAAAAGTATATAAATAAAACTTTTGGCTTTAAAATTTTTTTATATATAATTTAGAATTACAAATTTCAAATTTAATATATTAAAAATACAAATATAATTAAGGGTAATTAAAAAAAATAAATTAATAGACCTAAATCAATTTGTCATAAATTGTTTTGATTTATAAAAAAAATCTATGATATATAATATAATATAATATAATATATTCTTTAATTTTAACTAAAAATTTATGATATATTTTTAATTTAGTATATACAATAATTTTAATTTCAATTAAAGCATATAATATATTTTTAAAATTTAATATATATGATAGATTTATATATATTTTTTTTAAATCGGATAGATTCAAATTTTATTATAAAGTATGTTAAAATAAAAAATAAATAAATAAAGTTGATGATTTCATATATTTTATCAAAAGTAAATTTTGGGTTTGTACAATTGAAATTGAATGGGACTTAAATTTTACAAAATAAGCTATGAATCTAATCTTTTATCATCCCTCAATATAATATATAGCTATTTTAATATATATATATATATATATATATAAGGAAAGGAATATATTATACATATATGCTACAAAATTTCTTTATTTTTAATAAAGAAATATAAATTAGAATATATTAAAACAATCATTAATTTAATTATTGAAAAAATAATACTATAATTTTTTTGAGATATTTTTAAAAGGTATTTATTATTTAAAATATTGAACTATGTATAATAAATATGAAAATTTATTTTTATTAAGAATATATAATAAATATATAAATTTTTTATTTTAAAAATATAAAAATTTCATTTAATTTATTATTAAAAACATAGTGGTTGTCTCCGGTATCTAACATGTTTATCGCGAAATAAACAAACGTACTGACTAGTTGACAAATGTCGTTACATATGAGTCTCTATTCACATAGTTAAATATTGTATGATCTCCAACAAGTTCTTACTGATGATGTCATGAATATTTTTCGACACAAAATATATATGATGAGCTCTCGTTTACCAAACAATAAATAATAGTTATTTTATTTTTTATATACAAAGAATTAAATCATGTACTTAAATATATAAATATATGTTATATATATATATATATATTAAGCAAACCAAGTAAATTTACGACAATCAAAGCAATAAGCTTTGGGTAACAATCGACAATGAGGGGCTTGAAGGAGAAGAGAGAGAGCTGATAAGAAGATGAAGAGGATGAGCTTCTTCTTGTTTTTTGAAACGGAGTAAATTAACAAGCATCCGCCTCGCCATTTTACCCAACATTAGATCTGCTTTCTTCAACTCATCAACCATATATACGCAGCATATATGTATATAAAATAGTTAGATTCATGTCTTCTTTGAATGGGCTTATTAAGAACAATTATGAAGAAAGATAAACACCAACTTCATGGGCTTTTACACGAGTGAAATCTCCTGCAACATATTCAAGAATGATCGGCATTCAGAATATTCTTGGCCGAGACACAGAAACCATCTCGTCGGCTTTGAAAGATAAGCAAAGACAGCGTAGCTGAATTCTCCACCTGTGTCTTTCGCCATCCTGACCAATAAATTCTCTGCCTCCGAGTCTTATCCGTCTTAGCTAACAAATTCTTAACCGCTAACATCCGCAACCCAGATTGCCAGTCTAGTGAGTTGCCGATGCGGTTCCCTTCTTCGCCACAAAGGGATTTGTAGATATATATCTCAAGAAATTCGATAGCATTCGCACATAATCATGGAAAGAAAAAGAATATTGAAAATCAATGGCATAAAACCAACAAACTAAGCTAAGAATCCCGCTGCTCCCTCCACAGAGGAAAGGCGAAGAAGGAAACGGTTTCTCCAAAGTACTCAGATCCTCAGTCTGAATTTACAGATTCTGGCGATCAAAAATGTTTTGAAGAAGAACGGAAATGCGGCAGAGATAGAGAAAGTGAGTCTGAAGATTAAAGAAATGCAGCCTGTTAATGACTTCAAGAGCCGAATAGTGAACGGCTTCCTCAAAAGTACGCGATCCTAAGTCTGAATTTAAGGATTCTGGCGATCAAAAATGTTTTGAAAAAGAACGGAAATGCGGCTGAGGCAGAGAAAATGAGTCTGAAGATTAAAGAGATGCCGCATGTTAATGACTTCAAGAGCCAAACAGTGAGAATTGTAGCTCAGATGACATAAATTTTTAGCTCAATTATGTGCGAATGCTATTCAATTTTTTGAGGTATATATCTGAAAATCTCTTTGAGCCGGTGAAGGAAACCAGGTCCACAATTCACTCAGATTGGCACACTGAGCTACGGATTTTACCTGTTAAGAATTTGCTGGCTAAAACGGGAAAAGACTCAGAGGCAGAGAATTTGTTGGCCAAGACAGCAAGAGACACAGGCAGAGAATCCAGTTATGCCAGTCTTTGAATATCTTTCAAAGCGGACGAGAAGGTTTCGTTCCTCGAGCCCCCACTGTCAAGAATGTCTGAAAGCAGATCATTCTTGAATATCTTCCGGGGGATTGCACTCGTGTAAAAGCCGATGAAGTTGTCTGTTCTTAACAAGCCCATTTCTCACTGTCTCTCTCTCTCTCTGGAATCTTAGTTGATGGACAAGAAACACTCAAATGAAGTTCATCTTTTCTGATTTTTTGAGTTTGGGGTTTGTCTGTTTTTGGTGGTTGGTTTTTCTGATTATCTGAGCTGTGATCAATTCTTCATCATGATGATATTTATATGGAAAATCAGGTTAGAGAGAGCATGAGATTCATGAGAAACCAACCACAGGTTCAAAAAAAATTTCCATACTGGTGAAATTCTTCATATAAAAAGCATGAATCATATATATACATATTGCATGAAGCATGCATCATATATATATATATATATATATACATATATACATATTACATGAAGCATGAACAATTCCCTCATATAACAATTCTCTCTCTCTCATATAATAAGCACGAATCTGGTTTGAACTCATGAAGCTGGTGTTTTTGAAGCTGGAGATAGCATGAGTCTCTCTCTCTCTCTCTATATATATATATATCGAATCTTAGTTGATGGGCAAGAGTCTCTCTCTCTCTCTCTATATATATATATATATATCTGGAATCTTAGTTGATGGGCACGACAATCTTGGTGAAAATATCTGCAAATCTCTTAGTGGTAAGCTAGGATTATTCTCTCTGCAAACAAAGGTAAAAATCATTTCTCTCTCTAATTTTGGGGCTTTGCAAGAATTTCATGTATGTATATATATATATATATATATATCCATGAAACACATCATTATGTATATATAAATTTAATTTATGTGAACTAAACTGTACTAATATTTTTAGTAATGTTAAAGATTATAATATGTATATATAAAAAGTCCAAAATTTCTCCTAGAACTTTTTTTAGCCAAATCTAAATGTTAGTATTTTAGTCAAAATGAGGATTTTGGTATCTTAGTGAAATCTAAATATATATATATAGTCAAAACGAGGATTAACTCAGGCTGAACGGTTAGGTGACCCAAACATGTAACTTTCCAGGAGAAGGTGTGTGTTCCAGATGATAGTGAGTTAAAGAAGGACATCATGATAGAGGTCCATAGCTTAAATTTTGTTATGTATCTTGGAAACATTAAAATGTATCAAAATATGCGACCCCGATTTTAGTAGAACGGGATAAAAAGAGACATAACTGAATTTGTTTCTAACTGTTTGGTATGTCAGCAAGTCAAAGCAGAGCATCAACGCCCAGGCGAGCTACTTCAACCATTACAGATCCCGGAATAGAAGTAGAAACATATCACCATAGATTTCGTGACAAGATTACCTAATGCACGCTCAAGACATGATGTCATCTAGGTAATTGTTGACCGGTTTACCAAGTCTTTCCACTTCTTGACCATCAGGATGACCGATCTCTTGGACAAGTTAGTAAGAATGTATATCCGAAAAATAGTTAGATTGCATGGAGTGCTAGTGACAGTAATGTTCAACAGGGACTCTAGGTTCATTTCTCAATTTTTGAATGACTTTCAGCAAGCCATGAAAACGAAACTGTTCTTTAGTACTACATTCCATCCTCAGATCGATGGACAGTCAGAAAGGACAATCTGTACACTTGAGGATATACTCCAAGCTTGTGTCCTTGACTCCGAGGGCCATTGGGATGACCATCTACCCCTGATTGAGTTCGCCTACAACAATGGTTACCAATCAAGTTTTGGCATGGCTCCGTATGAGACGTTATAAGGGCATCCATGCAGATCAGTGATTTGTTGGAAAGAAGTGGACGATAGAAAACTGTTCGGCCCAGATCTGGTAGAGAAGACTATATCCAAAATAGTTAAGATCATGAAAAACATTCAGACAGCTCAAAGCAGACAGAAGAGTTATGCAAACACCCGGATGAGAGATTTAGAATTTGAAAAAGACAATCGGGTGTTCCTTAAGGTCACTCCTTTCAATGGAATCAGTAGGTTCGGCAAGAGGGGGAAACTGAACTCCTAATTTATTAGACCATTTAAAGTCTTAGACAGAATTTGTACCGCCACCTACAGACTAGTACTGCCTCAAGAACTTTTCAAAGTCCACAATGTGTTTCATATGTCTATGCTACGCAAGTACAACCCGAATCCTTCTTATGTCTTGGCCCACGAGTCTCTTCCACTCCAGGAGAATCTGTCCTACGAGGAAGTGTCGGTCGACATTGTGGATCGAAAGAGCATATTACTCAACAACCAAAAAATTTCTTTTGTAAAGGTCATATGGCAGAACCACACACTGAGGGAGGCTACATGAGAGCTAGAATCAGACCTTATAGTCCAATATCCCCAACTGTTTGATTGAGAGTGAGAGACAAATTTGAGGGACCAAATTTCTTTTAAGGAGGGAAGAGCTGTAACACCCACAAATTTTTGTGTGGTGATTAAATAATTAATAAATATAAATTTTATTAATTTATTTTATTTTAATGTATTTTGTTTTATTTAATTTAGAGTAAAAAATGAAATAAAATTGAAGGGGATTTAATTGAAAACAATTTGGAAAAAAAAAGAAAA